AATTCGGATTATATACATTGAAATATCAATCATTTGCAGTATTGATATATACATATTTACAATCATTAGTGTTTAGGGAATATAATATGCTTATTATATCTATTGCTCAATTTCTGTGGTGTCATCTAAAGTGCTAGTTTTAAATGGGTTTTCACAGCATTCGTCATTCATGCATCGGCATGCCTCAGTGCATGGCATTTTGTTGGCTTTACATTTGCAATTGCACTGTGTTAACTCGAGTAAGCCTTTTGGTGCTGGATCATATTCATATTCCTTTTAATTATAGAAATTCGTTTCCATGGTAACGACAGCAATGTGAAAATGTCACTCAATGGTATGCCTCAAAAATAACTATCATATAGGATACACTTTATAACACAAAAGTGAAGTGCACGGTCCTGCCAGTAGTTTTGTTCTTATAGAGAACTAGACGCATAACTGCGTGAACTCGGGGTTCTCATGGGGTCGATAGGTGATTTTATGTCTAAAATGATATAGTTTCAAGAAAATCGTTTTTTTMTTTTGTTTTACTCAGTAGTCGTTTGATGGTATTGATATCGATTTATTAGGGTACAATACAGTCGAGTTTAATTTATTTTAKTGTTTGTTAACAGTATTGAAAGATATACGAGTAAATTAATAGAGATAAGCTATTAAAACAAGCAGCCCTGAAGTTTATTTTGGAATCCRTGTGTTGCTGTTCTTAGATAACAACTCTGTTGGCGGATTGCGTTGAGTAATTATTGTACAACATCAAAAATAAAACAAAACAGAGTCTTTTATCCTCTCTGCTAAATAAAATAGTCCCAATTGTCGGTTTTTCGCATTCCTTAGAGAAGTCCTCAGTAGTTTCAGACCCTGTAGAATCAGTTAGTATAGAGTTCGCTTTTGATAAGATTGGTAGCTTGTTTGGTAGATATAGTTCACGATAAGTTTCACGATAAGTTTCACGATAAATTCGCGGTATCTCTCAAAATGCCCTTTCGAAAAACGCTCGACATCTTTTAATGTGGCTATACCGCGAATGGTGTGTGGATTTTTAAGAGATTTGAGCGTGTTTGAATTTGAATCCATGTCTTCCATCTCGTATCAAAGACGACACCTCGACGTCACGTGATAGGTTTAAAATTCGTACCCAGTGCATTCTAGTTTGGCCTTGATAATTTGTGTACGACGAATACCATGACAAAGAAAGCCGCAAATTAAACTCGCGGTTCCGCAGGAACCCCGAGTAACAAGTAATATTTCCATGCTAGAAGGCAGATATCCGTAGATTGCAAGTGAAATCTCTTTGTAAAATATCACGAAATTGTGTTTTATTCAATCAAAGATGTCGGTGGTAGGTCTGCATGTCCAAGTTATTTGAAACTTAATGAAAAGACCCTACTTAATATTCGTGCGGACATTGATTTTTGGAAGCCACTAATAACCAAGATTRAATCAAAATCCTGAGYATGACYADKAGAATGGCGTCGAAACYTRGAGAAGAAACAGAAATATGTGAGTCAGACAGCCCAATAACACAACAAAATAGTAATCATACCAGACTCACGAATAAGAGTTTCAGATCTACAATTAATGAAAATGTTTTGAAAACATGTGGGATTTTGAAAAAAATGCAACTGTACCAAATGTCCATAGCAACGGTTGCTATGACAACTWCAAACCTATCAAAACCATAGTAAAATAAAAGTTTGTTTCACAAGAAACATTTTGTAAGAGTTTGAGTTAATTTCATTGGTTTTTCAGGTTGATATGCTCATTTATCTAAAATGGTTCTATATGGGGCATTATTTTGGGGGTACAAAATAGGCCCAAACACAATGAAGGCCCACCGATACTTTAGTACATCGTGTCTAAAAATCATCGAKAAGGACCCTATTTTTGATTTATGGTATCAGACTAAA